TAAGGCTGAACATAGCCCAAAAGCCTTATATAGTATAGTCTTTGGTCCCAAAAGCCTTCAAATATGAGCCTTAGGGTAAAGGTCTCTTTCAGCTGGTTCATCCTCCGGGGCCTCGGTTACCTGGAAGGGTTCCCCCCAAAGTCCTAAACCCCAAAATCCCTGAACCCTAAACCCCTACACCCTAAACCCTGAACCCCTGAAAACCCTAAACCCCTAAACCCTTAAACCCTAAACTTCTAAACCCTAAACCTTAACCGTTCAAGGATCTGTGAGGGTGTTACTTTTGGTTTCGTGTGTTGGTTCTTGGGTGACTCAGAGGCCAGCTGACCCTTAAAGGTAGGGGTTTTCCACTCGTGTACTAGATATTATGAAGCACCATAATATCAATATAAGTATAGTATTTCATAATTCATAATATTAGTATAGTGTTTCGTAATATTATCACGGGGTTTCATAATCACATCATGATAAAACGAACCTTGTGTTCGTCCTTTCGATGGTGAACTCACCGAGTCCGACCCGCGATTGGCCGCAGTTGCTTTGCAGGGCATGCGCCCAGCCGCTACGTATCCCAACACGGTCACCTACAATGCCACCATTACCGCCTGCGCCGAGGACTTCTTGGGGCTTTCGGTTTAGGGTTTAGGGTTTAGGGCTTAGGGTTTAGGGTTTGGGGTTTAGGGTTTAGGGCTAAGGGTTTAGGGTTTAGGGGTTCTTGGGGGCTAAAGTGTCACCGAGTTTAGCAATTCGGGTTTAGGTGCCCTACTTAGGGGTCCTAAGATGACTGAAAAGGTCCAAACCAGAAAATGAGTAGGGGTTGGGGATAGCAGTTATGTAGGTTCCCATCTTGGAGAGTAGATGACAATCCCAAAGTGTCCTAGGTACTGTTATGGCACACACTTTCCCAAATCAGAATAGTAACTCCTACTCAAGAAACCTTACATTCTACTACATACAGCAGAAGCCAGAAATTTGGAACATCAGTATCCTCATGCCCTTAAAGTAAAGTATGGGGAATCCCAGCACTAATCATCCTAAATCCATGTTCCAACTTTCTGGGAGTCACTATAGGTACTGTGGGCCCTTCGGGAATAAGCTACCTGGACCCTTAGCGTTTAGGGCTTAGGGTTTACCCATAGGCCCCATAGTAGTTCCTTTTTGGGATTACTTTGTAGGGTTCTATATATGAACCCAAAAAGGAACTACTCTAGGGCCTATGGGTAGGGGTTTAGGGTTTAGGGTTGTCATCCTTCTTCACATTGCGGGCCTCGGAGGCGTGCCTTATTGCGTCTCCTTACTATCAGGATCTGAAAGCTTAAACCCAAAGGCCCTAAACCCCTAAACCCTAAACCCCAAAGCCCATAAACCCCTAAACCCTAAACCCCTAAGCCCCTAAACCCCTAAACCTCTAAACCCCTAAGCCCCTAAACCCCTAAACCCCTAAACCCTAAGCCCCTAAGCCCCTAAACCCTAAACCCCTAATATTTGTGACTCTGAGAGGGGCGCGTGTCTCCTTGCTATCAGGATCCTACACTTAGAGGCCCAGGGAACTTGGTAAGTTGGTTATAAGTAGGGCTATAATTTGGGTAACTCCATTTAGGGTACTCATAACTCTACTTATAACCTACTTACTAAGTCCCCTGGGCCTCCAACAGGGGCCCAAGACTACAGCTCTTCTGTTGCCTTAGTTTCTTAGGTTCTTAGTTCCCCAAATTATCCAACCTTTTAAGCTTTTTGGGTTCTTATCACTTAGTCCCTAAACCCCTAAACCCTAAATCTACCTTTTAAGCTCTTTGGGCTATCATTTAGTAGTAATCTGATAGTTTAACCTTTGGTTCCCTTGGCTTATTGGGGAAGTAAGGGTTTGGGGCCCTCCCGGAAGGAATTCTGATCGAAGCCCCGACCTGCCCCCATATCCCTTAAATTGGAAGTATAAGGAGGTCTGGCCCAGGGTTTAGAATTAAATCAGATCAGGGATCCCCAAGATTGCCCAAGATGATTTAAGCTCTAATCCTTCAGTAAGGCATATCATTGGAAGATGTGGGGAAACCCTACACCCTGAACGTTACACCCTAAACCCTGAAGCCAGAGCCCTAAGCCAATACCCTAAATCCTAAACCCCGAACCCTAAGCCCTAAACTTATCGACTGCCTGCCCAATATGCGCTTTGGAGTGCAAGCAACAGAAAAGGCACTTAAACAACAACAAACCCTAAATCCTAAACCCTAAACCCTGAACCCTAAGCCCTGAACCCTAAACCCTGAGCCCTGAGCCCTAAACCCTAAACCCTAACCCCTAAACCCAAAGCTCTGCACAGAAGAACCCTTTCCAGCTCCGACCTGCAAACCCAAACAAAGCTGACAGACACGCACACACACACACACACCTAGGTTCCTGAGTAGTACCCTTTTGCCCTTCTTATTTTGGGGTCTCCTTATTAAAACCCAACTATAGGAAAAAGGGTACCCTTATTATTTCGGGGTCACTCAGGAACCTAGACACAGACACCCTCCGGTTTAGGGATTGAGGTGTTTAGGGTTCCGATACGGGGGTTTTAGGGTTTAGGGGTTGGGTTTAGGTGTTTGGGGTTCCGATACGGGGTTTTAGGGTTTAGGGGTTGGGTTGAGGTGTTTAGGGTTCCGATACGGGGGTTTTAGGGTTTAG